ATTACTCAACATTGACAAAAAAGCTTAGTACTGTCAAGGATGCGGATTTGATCTGTGTGTTCCATGAAGGTCGGATTAAGGAGATGGGATCGCATGGTGATTTGATTGCGACGGGTAGAATGTATAGCAAGATGTGTGAGGCTCAGGCTTTAGACTAGGCTTTATAGAAAGGTAGTAGATAGTAGATTGGAACAACGCTCGAAAAGGTGGTATTTAGACGTATTTATTTTAGGAAAGGCACAGGAGCTCAAAGTTTAAATTATAATCCTAGACTCTGAACGAGTATGGATATTGTCATTCGAAAATTGGTCGATCCATTCTCCGTTCGATGTCGCCAGTAATCAAAAGATAAAAGCCACAGCTGTATCGACACCGTAGACAAATTGTTGATTGTAACTAAACTTGCCAATCTCAGAGCATACGTCCAACAACGGCCCACGGTACGAAATTGCCTCCTTACATCTAACCCATTCTTCCAAACCATCCCCCTGCCTCACTGCTATCACAGCTGACCTCTTGAAAAACACAAAATGAAGTCGTCATTCACTTTCCACTATCTCCTACGTTCTCCTTTCATTCTTCCTTTCCTGGCTTAACACTGCATATAACCGCTTCATTTCTGCGTTTGATTTCAGGCCCATTCAACCTCGTTTGCCAACTATTCAACTGCCAGCCGCTAACGAACTAAAAGACTCAAACCTTACTGAAAGACACATCGGTACTGTGAGGAGAATGTCAATTTCCTGCAAAGATTGTCAGCGACGGCGGACCAAGGTAAGGCAATCTTAGAACAGGTCGCTCGACTTGGCCGGTTACTTCTTGATCTTTCAAATGATAGTACACAGGCGGAAATCCGTGCTTGGAATGCAACAAGCGTGGTTCGGTTTGCGTAATCGATGAGAGTTCAGACAAACGGCGAAAGCTATTAATGAGAATGGAAGAAGATCTTAAGTACTATCGGGAGTTTTTGGACAAGTTCTTTGAGGCAATAAGGACTTCGGCTGATAATGATGTCCAACATATAATCGATGTCGTACAGTCGGCACCGTCAATCAGTGAAGTGCAAATGGAGGTGGCCCGCGTCCTTGAAGGGAGTTATCTTTCTCGATAACTCACAGAAACATAATATATCTATTTTAGGTAATCCTTAACAGAATTATGCTAGCGTAGTACTAAAACTAGTGCTGCGATGGTACTACAGCACTTGGTGCCGTAGTACTATACAACAGTACCAAAATTAGCTTAGTCCCGTAGTACCTCGCAGCACTATGTCGTAGTACCAAAATTGCATTGGTGCTACGGGACTTGTCAAGGCCTAGGAACGGTAGATGTTTGACCTTTTCTTACTTTTTAATCCGACTATTGTGTTGGCCTTTAATAGCTTTTTTTATACCTACCTCAAATAGAAGATGCACGCTTTGTTCTTTATATTACCATCCTGTCAAGACCGCCAGTGTCAACACCGTAGAGTCTAATGACTCACAAGTAAAAGTGATAGATGGAAAGAATCTCCTACTTGTTTCTCCCATACTTAAGAGCCTTCACTGTTAGGCTCCCTATCCATCCCATGGGACAATAGAGACACATCCATCCTCCACTAAAGAGGATAGATAAACAGCTTGTTTTCTAAATCCGTCAGATCCAGCATCGCCAGATCCACCTTCCTCCTCACCACTACCCCGGACTCATCTACTTGTTCAACGCACCCCTCTCGGTCACCATCGCTCAATCCAGCAATCCAACCTTTTCTCTCCTTATTCCTTCTTGCAAGGATAAAATGGATGACCCCGAGGATAGCTGGTGTTCCCACCCAGCTAACGCAAATCATCGAGATCCACGCATCATAATACCTTGGGGCCGCGCTCGGAACCCAGATTTGTGGGGAAACCAAGTTGCCAACACTGTAGCCGAACATGAACATTGCATTCCGCGTTAGCCTCTTGGTATACCCGGCCGCTGAAGAAGTTGTCCACCCGAGCGCGATAATATATGTGATGCCGTATGTGTTTTCCGCGATGAGCATGCAGACCAACAACGGCAGCTTTCGACTCCAATCGATGAATATTATGCCTACACCCCCTGCTAGTGCGAAAAGACACCAAACCAGGCTATGCAGAGCGAGGTATTTGGGAAAGAACTTCAAGGCAAAATGGGCGACGATGCAGAGTGCAACGCCGAAACCGCCACCTGCTGCGGAGACCAGGGTGGAACCTAGGTCGGATACCCCAAGAGAGGTAGTCAGGAGGTTTTGCTGGCCATAGTTGAGGTTGTTGGAGTACATCAACGTGAATGCCTGTAGGGCAAATAGCCAAGACACGGGGTCTCGAAGGCATTCAATGAATTGGGACTTTTTGAATTGTTTCTGCTCGATAGAGCTCTGGTGGGACGCGTGCACACGGTGGATGACGTGAACTTTTTCTTCAAGAGAAAGGAACTGTGCTTCAGCGGGATTGTTGGGATAACAGAACCAGGTCCATATTGACAGTAGGATGGTTAGTCCTCCATTGACGATCATGAAGAGTTTCCATGGGAGGATATTGCTGTGACTGTATAGTAACCCGTAGGAAATAAAACCGGCAGGAATTGGAGCACCAAGACAGGTGGTGAAAAAGATGGGCTGCAGAAATGACTGTTCCTCACGATTGAAAAACATGTTCAGAGTGATCTCTATCGCAGGGACAACGACTGCCTCCACTGCACCAAGAGCGAGACGAAGAACCACTAGCCCCCCGTATTTGGTGGCAACACAATGGAGGAATATGATGACCCCCCAGAGGAATAGTGTGCCACTTAAAAATCGCCCAAGTGGAAGCCGTTGCATAAGGTAATTACCAGGCCACTGGCCTACGAGGTAGCCTAAGAACACCAACAGCGTCAATTCCAATGTTTCAGAAGGGACAGATTGAGCCATGCACGGAAGGGATTAATCATACCGACATAGAATAGAGTGTTGAGAGTATTGTACTGTGACTTTGAGATACCCGTCTCTTCGAACAGCCCAAGAATCGCAGCATAGCCAAGGGTTGATTTATCGATCTGAAAAAGTCAGAGAAAGGAGGGTTGGATTGCAATTAAGAGCAGTACCCACAAATAGAACGAGGTTGATGATCGATACTAAAACCACGATATGTAGGTATAACTTCCGTGTGAGTTTCTTCTCTCTTTCCGGCGTCAACGGTTCAAACTCGTTGCCATGGTCTTCGATGATTCGTAAAGTCACGTCGGCATAGTTTTCTTTGATTGTTTTCGTGTCAGGATAAGTGGTGATGGGAGGCTGTTTTTCGTCACTCATGCTGTTCCGATATGTGGGTTAGAGAGAGAGGGTAAGCCGATGAATCGATGAATATTTCTGTCTAATTCCTGTTTCTACATTCCAAAAATTTGGGCATCGCAAAGTTATTTAAGCCGACATTTCTTAATCCTCATCGCTAAACACTTGGTGCCATAGAAATAACGTCACTATTTGGAGAATCACATCTTTCATCTAACGTGTAATTTCATTGGATGTAGCGTAACCCGATCCATAATATAATCCACAATAAGTATATTCTAGCGCTATAGCCATGGGAAGTCAATGAGGGTCAAGCTTTTCGAATCCTGCGAAACCTAATACTCGGCCCGTATCTCGGTTATTCTATGATGTCGGAGATGACTCGGAATTGTTGTGATCCAATAGTATGCATACTATACTATTATTATCTTTTAGATCGGAGACATTCCACCCGAAAATTGCGTCAGAAGCTGGTTAGAATTTGGAAAGGAAGGAATATTCAACAATGTACTCCGTATGTGTGGCGGCTGTGTGGACCGAACGCACGCACTTCAATCTTACCCCTGGAGGCCAAGCTAACCGAAATCGTACATCGTATGATGCCCTCAAGATTTCTCAAAAATCAACCTTTATGGGTGCCAAAATAGCGACATACTTGGTATTCCCAGCTAAGATTCCAAGTATAAAAGCCTACAGAAAGGCACTATTATACTGGATATTGATGTGGACAATAAGATCTCAAATTATCCCAACATGGCCCGATCTTCCCTGTAAGGAATCAAGTGTCTTTTACCCCTGGCGATCGCCTCTTAATTGCCCCGAGGCCGTTCAACTAGATTAGTCTATCAGTCTCTACCACCCAACTAACTCTCGTTTGCTAGCGTAAGTGTCCTACGTAGGTCGTGATACTGTATGGATGGTATTAGATAAAGCACGTGGAGGCTAAGACCTCACGCTCTTTCATTATTCCGACATGCCCAAGTGATTATAATAGTTGTATGTAGTATTCAAATGATATATTATAGTACTTGCAAGACACGAATACAAACTTATATGTTTGAATCTTAGTTATTACTTGCCCATCTACTTTATTATTAGAAGGTCACGTGATACCACTATTTGCTCCCAGTTTAGGCCTTGACAAGTCCCGCAGCACCGGTACTACAGTACTAGTGCTGCGGTAGTACTAGGCCTTTAGTTCGGTACTATAGCACTAAGGCTTAGCAGTAGTGGTCGCATTGCGGAGAAATCCATGAGAGGAGTGGCGGTGCTGGCAGGCTGGGCCACAGCTTTGTTTGGTATTACGCGCACCCTTGCGCTCGATTTGGCCCCCATTCGGGTCAATATCGTTAGTCCCGAAACGACGGATACGAAAATCCAAGGCCCCGAGGAGCAGCGCGAAAGGAAGATGGCGGCCGCTGAGGAGAGAGCTAGGCAGGCCACATAGACTTAAAATCGATTAATTGATACCTAAAAATCTAGGATTAAATTAGAGAGTTAATGGAACCTGGAACATCGGGTCGTTGCCGCTTAAGCTTAGCATTATATTTTGGCCCCCACGCCTTCCACGTGCGCTAGGGCGCTAAGTTTTGCCAAAGTCCGGACTGATGCGCCGGTCGATCTGACTCGTCTCCACACCCTCTATTTTCACTCTTTTCACTCTTGTTTGAATGCTGGTTCGTTGGATTGAATAACCAGTGTACGTGGTCGGAATTTCTCTACACCCACCATGGACCATCCTAAGGCCAACATAAGTCCGAGTACTGAAATCTCTCCAGTCACCATTCCAAACCTCGAAGAACCGGACCTGGAGCGAAACCCTGAAAAATCCCAAGATGTGGAAATATCGATGACAACCGAGAAACCACACACCTCACAAGAGCGAGAGGGGGTGGATAACACAATATCAATGCCTAAAAAACCAGTCTCATTTAAACTAGCTTTCGTAGGGCTTGCGGCCAGCCTTTTCGTATTCCAGGTGGACGCAACCTGTCTGGGTGTTGCCCTTCCAGTGAGCCATAACACCCTCCCTGTTCTGTATGCCGCTCATATTAATGACTAATTTTCATTGCTAGACTATAGCAGGCGAGCTGAAGGGCTCAAGTTTAGAGTCATTCTGGGCGAACCTCGCCTACACCCTATGTGGACTGGTAACGCAGCCAGTCTGGGCCAGTATTTCTAATGCGTTCGGTCGAAAGCCCCCTCTATACACATCTATGGTGTTATTTTTTGTCGGTTCCGTCGTTTTCGCTACAGCACAAAACATGAGCACCATAATTGTTGGACGGGTCCTCCAAGGCCTCGGCGGTGGTGGAATTGACCTTCTGGTAATGGTGATTCTCGCAGATATGACGACACTAGAAGAACGCTCAAAATATCTCGGCTTAATGGCCATTCCTTCAGCCATTGGGAATATCATGGGGCCCGTCGTCGGTGCGCTTTTCGCGACCTATGCTACCTGGAGATGGATCGGATGGATCAACCTACCGTGGCTAGGAATTGGCACACCTTTATTGTTTTTCTTCCTTAAACTCCGACCCGTCCCGCTCGATGCAACGCTAGCCAGGAATTTGAGTCGCCTTGACTGGATCGGTATGGCACTTGTCGTTATTGGGATTACGATTTTTATTGTGCCTATCAGTTGGGCAGGCTCCTTATTTCCGTGGGCATCTTGGCAGACTCTCCTTCCATTGTTGTTAGGAGCTGCAGTGCTTGTCATTTTTGTCTTCTACGAGACGAAGCCCGCGGTACCTATTGTTCCTCACCGAATTTTCCACTCCAAGACTGGAAATCTAACGCTGGTCGGAGGCTTCATTCACGGCATGATTATGGTATCACTATTACAGTACTTGCCCTTACTTTACCAAGCAGTGGAACTCCAGACTGCCATTTCATCGGCTATCTACCTATTACCTACTGTCATTATTAGCGTGGTAGTCGCAGCCGTCTCAATGATGATGGTCCCATTGTTCGGGGGATACGTTTGGATTCTAAGACTTTCATGGGTTATACTTACGCTGGGGACTGGAGTTCTAGCCCTCTTCGACGTCGGGTCCTCAACATCTGTGCGTTACGGCCTTCCTATTCTCTGGGGGCAAGGCGTTGCGTTATTACGTCTCAATATTCTTCCCATGCAAGCAAGCGTCAAGAATGCCGAGGACACAAGCTTAGCCATGGGGCAGTTTCTCGCCATTCGCTTGTTTGGAGGTCTTATCGGCCTTACCATCTCTTCGGCCATTTTCAACAATGTTTTCTCCGCATCCATTTCTGATACTACTATTCAGCTGACGGGGGCTTTAGCACCTCTGAAAGACGCATCCAATGCTGTGAACTTCATTGACCATTTGAGATCACTAGAACTATCTTCTACCGCGGTAGATCAAGTTTTACGGGTCTATCTGGACTGCTTCCGAACAATATTCTATACAATGACCGGCCTCAGTGGACTGGGCTTAGTGACCTCGGTGTTTCTGGATGAAATTGCTCTCAAGGGGCAAGACCTTGGGAACCAGCGCTTCGAAGAATAGTCAGAGCAGGGTGAAAATCATTCCTCGTTTCAGTGTTTACTTCTTCACTTGTTCACTAATATATATATTAATTCCAAAGATATCCTGGAGATAATGGCGTTAGTCGCATTGCGAAATTTGTCAATAAGGACTCTTTATCTCACCTTCTTTCAGAGTATTGTCTGAAATATGAGCATTACAAACATCTCCATACCTCCAGGGCTTGGTGACCCGTGTCTTTCTTCCTTGACGGCCAGCATTGGGCATTCATCAGACCAGCTTCCCAAGTTGCGCAACCCTTGGTTGATTTTGATGATTTCAATCCAGCAACGCTAGAGCTTTATGGACATAACTCACTAGTGTAATAGACTTCTCTCATATTGTTGCTCGCAATTGCACGGCAGCAAAGTAGTATACTTTTCATACGGAAATAGGCCACGAAGCCCTAAGTAAGTTATCACAATGCACTATAGCCATCGCAGAATGTGGGATTTGAAAAAAAATCATATATACAAAGAGCTTCCATTGGGTTGCTTTCTTGTCGTCCCTCATCAACTTTTTCTAATTCAACTTCATATCGAGGTATATAGATCTTGCACCAACGCTCTGCCTCCTTCAGATCTAGTCACTTAGCACCAATTTACCCTCGCTCTCATTCAACAACACTGTTTGACTGTTTATCAGCGTTTGATGATTTTGTGCCTTCTCACCCTGAGTCCTTTTGTATAGGAATAACAATGGAATCGCATCGTTCTTCCACGTGGGAATCATGGCTCCCCGTGTCTTCCAAATGGTGCCCACCAATGGTATCAGGCCTAACAGCCACACGAGAGCCGGAAGAATTATCCACTGCCAATTCACGAAAACGTACATCATGTTTATGAATGCCTGACCAGTAGTTTGCGGTAGAGGTGCTAAAACTAATGGCATGCCTCGAAAGATTTTTGACATTGATTCAGGGACATTCTCTAGGGCACAGCGGAGCCTCTCGGTAGTTTGAACTGTGCAGCTGGTGATTTTGAACTGTGAGTTGGCCTGAAATAAGTGCGTAGATGTGTATATAACTTTCTCTTGAGGCGCAAATTCAACACCTTTTCGAGGACGAATCTGTGCGTGACCGGCAAATAACTCTTGAAAGAAATAGTCCACATTTTATATCCGGCAAATCTAGCAAACACGCATTGGATATGAATTGAATATTGTCATGAAAAAGGCTGATTTGACAATTGCAAAGATGATCCCCCGTCCACAACCAATGTATGCCCATTGATATAGCTGGCACCTTGAGACGCCAGAAACACCACCGCGTTGGCAACTTCCTCCGGGTCGGCCAGTCGTCTCATCGGCAAATCGCCTAGTATAACATCCTTAACATCCGGTGCCTCGTCCAGGAATTTATCCATCATGGGCCCTGAAACGTACGAGGGAGCAACGGCATTGATCCTGATACCATTACGCGCGTTTTCAAGAGCTGCTCCATTGAGTCAGAAATCTACCTAACGGAACAAACAAAAGAAAGAACTCACCGGCGGTTTGAATCAGCCCTTTGACGGCGTGTTTGGCCGCGATATAATTACCCACTCCGAGGAACGCCCCTTCCGACGCCAGCGATGTTAACACTACTATTGAACCCCGGGTTTGGTTCCGTCTTCTAGTCAAAATTGGCTCCTGGCTGATCATTGTCCGGATCACCTCGCGGACGACTAAGAAGCACCCAATATTGTGCACTTCGTCCATGCTCCTATAGGTTTCTAGGCTCATGTCGCTGATCGGGGTTTGATTGGCAGCGGGGGTCTTCCCTTGAGTGGTCAGAGATCATCCGCAAGAGGAAACCACGACTTGACTGGCTTACCCCGGCCGTTGTTATGCAGATATCGATGCGGCCATACCGGTTCTTGGTTTTCGCTACCAACGCTCGCACCTGTGCCTCCTCACGGACGTCAACATGGTAGGCGGTTGCCTCGTAGCCTTCTCGCCCTGCGACTGCGTAGCTCGATGTGGCAGTTTCTTGGGCTTGGGAGAGATTGACGTCGGCGCAGACTAGGATGGTGAGGCCTTGTGTGACAAGCGTATAGGCGACCGCGCGTCCAATTCCACTTCCTATAATTCCATTAATCCACCTATTAGTTTGGACGGCGACTCGCACAGAGAGCTGGCGTTTGGTTTGGCAAGGCTGACGAAAACCGGAAAGGGGACGAAATGAGCAGCATACCAGCACCAAGGACCAAAGCGACACCTTCTACCTGCATCGGGGCTATGTACGGCAGATTATGTTAACAACCTTTGTAGTTGGTGTCGACTTGAGTGTTCTTTATGCAAGCTGTCGCGTCCCAGCTCACGCCTTTCAGTAGGGGGACTCAATGTACAACATAAGCCTAATGCTTGTCATGTATGGTAATGTATGATTTTGGAGTACGACCTCACATATATTAGCATGGGTGTTTGGGATGCAACCTTACGTCCATAATGTTATCGCCACTCTTACTAGGTAGGGCCATGATTGGCCTGCAGGGATAGGGGTGACAGGGATGGTACGTAGATCGACCGGAGTCCTACTGGATATAGAAAGGTCTGATGTCTCGGGAGGAGTCGGTGAACGCCAAGTGGGGGGTTGCGGCTCGCGGCTGTGTTTGATCCACCGCCGTAGATCCCTGTGGATCGCTGAAATGAGTAAGCTCCTTTGAGGTTATATCCCTTACATCGCAGCCTGCCATCCCGTGTATGGGTCCAGGTGATCATGATCAGCCATTATCAGCTGGCCCTTACGCTTTGTCTTCCAGTGTCATCACTCTATCCAATCATGATGGTGCTGCTCTCGCATCTCCACCCTGATCCTCCATCGGGGCGTTTTGGCTAAACCTGATAGTCAAGTGCTTAGAGCCAATTAACCTTTGTCGCACCCCTATTTAATACACTGCCATCCAACGAGGGGGCCATCCCGCATCAATCACCGAGCAATCACCCTCGCCTCATCATGCCGTGGACGTTAGTCGAGCAGTCACCGAACATCTTTTCCCGGCCCCTTGGCCCTAACGAGGTGTTCATCAAACTAGTCAGTGATCCCGGCCACCCACTCGGTCGTGAACACTGGGCCATCAACTACACGGCCACTGTTAGTCCACGTGGGGCATTCACAGCCTTGTCGGGCTCGCCTGACCTTCTACCAACCCTCATCCGCTACTGTTGGTTGCATCTGCGCTTCCAGCACCCCAGTCTGGCTGCGCATCCGGACTCCAACTCCAACGTCGTATACACCGTTCCCGACTCTGCTGACGCTCTTACCGAATGGGCCTCCCAGACCTTTACCGTGGAGACCGATGCTCAGTCCGCCGATGAGGTAATTCGCACCATTGCACCAGCCGCCGACGCCCGACTATACTATATCCCCCAATCGAGTGAACTACTCCTACACACCGCACACTGGCGTATGGATGGAGTCGGTGGGCTATTCCTCCTCGGCCAGCTGGTGGACCTGATGGCCTCGCACGCAGACACCCTCCTCTCGGGGAAGCTGCCAGACCCATTCAATTCCTTCCAATGGGGATCGGAAATCGCACGGCTGTCGCCGCCGGTCGAAGAGGCCGGCAACATGCCCCTCAACGCGACCGACGAGCAGAAGGCTGTTGCGCACGGCGCGGTCGGTACCTTTGCCCTGGCGGCGGGGGCCCTCGGGGTGCCCTATACGGGTGATGCGTCGAGCGCGCCTTCTGGAACGCGGGCTGCCGAACTCCAATTCTCACCCACCAGCACCTCCGCCGCCGTGTCCGCCGCAAAAGCACGCGGCGTCGGGATCACAGCCGCCGTGCATACTAGTCTGGCCGCGACCAACTTCCAGCACGCGATCCCCGAGCACCAGGGTCGCCACTACACCAGCACCATCAAACAGTCCCTACGGCCGTACCTGCCCGAACCGTACTCGACCCCCGCGGCAGCGGCCGGGCTATTCACGTCTGGCTGGTTGGTGCGGGTCGACGCCTCCGGGTCCTGGGAGGAGAATGCCCGCTTGTATCAGGCGGAGTATGAGAAGGGCATCAGCAGTGAGTATCTCAAGGCGCACCGAGAGTATGCGTCCACTTTGGTCGAGGTGATTGGGAGCCTGCCGGCACCAGCAGAGCCACCCAGCGATATCGATATCAGTAGCATGGGGATCATGGAGAAATATCTGGATCGCGAATATGGAACCGCAGAGCGCGGGTTTGGTATCACGCATGCCGGGGTGGGCGTGGAAATAATTTCGCGCCAAGGAGTGGTTTTTGTATGGACGTTCCGTGATCAGTTGACACTGCGGTTGGTGTATAACGAGGCTTTCCACACCCCGGAGCAGATGACGGAATTTTTACAGGATATTCAAGCGGACCTGTTGAAGGAATTGCGGGTGGCGGAGTAGAGGGCTGTCGGGTTTAAATAATCGTTGACAACATAAATACAGAGCTTAAACTATAAAACTATAAACTTGCTGTATGTCATGTAATCTCCTTCATGCTTCGTGGATGTTAACTCGTTCGATATTAATTTTATTTTACTTTCTTTTTTTCCCCCCATTATATTTAGCAGCTGGCAGAAAGGCAACCGAAATAAAAGCAGAACAAAGAAAAGACATGTGCTTGCAATCCTTCAGACACTATCCCCCTCCGACATCGATCGTGTTGCTTCGATGGTGGTTTTAACATTAATATGATGGCTGTTCGGATTCCCTGAGTAGTGGTCCATTCGGATGGCATGACTGTCTTCTTTGAGGGGACGAAATGATCGGCTATCACTCATAAAATCTGAGGCAGTTTGCTTGCTCCCAGATAATGACAATGCGCTGGTACTGAGTTGCTTATTTCTGTTTCGCAGGCGGCGTGCGAGTTCCATAATATTAGGGAGGCAGACAGACATGAGGGAAACCGGACCTTCACACTGCACCCAACAGATATATTCGATGGTGGACCAGGTCAGATCCTCTTCCAAGGCAGAGCCTGCCTTGAGGAGAGTAATTAGACGACCGACAGACAATATGACCACTCTGACAGTGTATATACTTGTTAGCAAGCTCCTGATGGCCGGACCGCGCCTAATGTATTCAAGGAAACTTACGAGTAACCGCAAATAAATAGGCCAATTAGCAGGAGCCTTTTACCCTTGGTCAAGTGCAACGACCAGAGAAGTGGCATCGGGATCAGCAGGATAACCAGATCCAGGACCGCACTGGGGGCAGCAGTCCCAGTAAAGAATTTCCACTGCGTGAAGCATTTGGAGTCGGGAACAGCTTGCCAGGAGGCATGAATGGGCGTACACTGGAAAGTGGTCGCCAACCAGGACCCGATCAGCCAGCTAGCGCAGAGCGTACCGACCGCCCAGAGTGTAGGGCGGACCCATGTGGCTCCCCGTTTGAGGACTCGATGGTAGAAACAGAGCACCGATAATTTGGGCAAGGTAATGCATGCATCGTATAAGTAGGCGGCGGCGAAGATAATCTTGGGACCTGCTAGTTGAGTGCTGATGGGTAATGTTGCTGAATGACGGCCTAACCCAAGTGAGATCCAGTAGAATATGAGGGCCGATTCGGCGATAATGAAGGGCTATTAGATACATGGTTACCACACAACCCTATACACCAAGTTGAGGAAAGCACCTAAGCTTTCCTATGAGAAATAACACGCACCAATGTTAGGATGGCAAATGCGTCGTCGTAGCCAAATTTGTGAGTGCGCGAGCCCCAGATGGACCAGCAGCGGAGGGCGACCGAGACCACAGCTAATGTGAGCATCACAACACAAAGGGCGATGAGCCCTGGCTGCCGATTGCCATCAGACTCTGCGGAAGACATGTTATGACCGGTATCTCTCGGACCTAGAGCGAAATTGGCTTAATCATGGGCATGGATTTGGGGTCTTAACCCGACAAGGAAGTTGAGGCAGAAGCAATTAAAGCAATTAAAGCAATAAAGGCAATAAAGCAATAAGGCGACCAACGAAGGAGTTAATGCAAGGAGAATCAGAATCACTCACGAGCCATTTGTCTGACATGCAGTTTCGTACTCCGTACATAATTAACACAGACATAACATAACCCCTGCGGAGTATGTGGGGGCCATCTTGCTCTCTGCATTAGTTCAAGAATAGCCGCCTGCATACGGAGTATGTGGCCTTGTAACGTCTTTTTGGATGTGTTTTGAGACGTTTTTTTTTACACCGTTTCATATTAGACTGCAGAAAATGTCGGGGAAAAGGCTTAATTTGTGAAATGGATTTTTCCCTATATAACATTTCATTTGATGATTGATATACCACTATCCCTAAAACCCACACGGCTGATGGCCCGGGTTTCGGCCTTAATCCATTGTTGGGGGCCGGAGAAAGTCATTATATGGTGTTACATCCGGATGTCCTAGTTTAGCGCTACCAGAATGAGGAAGATCACCAACCCAAATAATTGGAACGGCCCGATCCACATGCCTGCGCAATTATTCCTTAGCCTATGTTGTACGCGCCGCTGCTGCATCGAGTGCAGATATCACACCCCGCGACGCGCCGTTGATTACTTGCCGGTGAGTTTGTCGCCATATCCAGCCTAGGTTTCTGTGTCTGACGTGGAAGGGAAAGTACCTAGGTAGACGTTTCGCGTACAAGAATGGCAGCTCAGTCGCTCGTAGACTTCTCTTCTCTAACTCACCTATCGAGATTTCGACAAGAAACTGCTGTTTTAAACACCAACATTAGGCGCTAGAATGGAGCACCAGGCATTAACTCCTGCACGTCAATGTGAACCAATCGCCATCGTGGGCATGGGTAGGAGCGCTGCATTCTGATCAAAGTCGGTGTACTGACATGTGCATGTGCATTAGGATGCCGACTACCAGGAAAAGCTTCATCCCCATCCAGACTGTGGGAATTGCTCGTCAGTAACCAGACAGCCCATTGTGAAGTTCCATCGGAGCGCTACAATGCAGCATCATACTATCACCCAGATGCTGAACGACCAGGAAGTATCAATTCGACCGGTGGATATTTCATCCAGGAGGACATTCGAGCCTTCGAAAATGCGTTCTTCGGGATCAACAACCTCGAGGCCATGTCCATGGACGCCCAGCAAAGGAAGTTGCTCGAAGTGACATACGAAGCGTTGGAGAATGCTGGTGTGCCGTTGGAAAAGATCCAAGGCTCAAACACCGGTGTTTATATCGGCAATTTCACCAACGATTTCTTGAACATGCAGTTCAAAGACCCAGATTCCTTTTCCCGGTATAGTGCCACGGGATTGGCGCTGACAGTGCTGGCGAATCGGCTTACACATAGTTTTGATCTGCGTGGCCCATCCCATGTGGTTGATACGGCTTGTTCATCGTCCTTGTATGCGCTGCATTCGGCTTGTTTGGGCCTAGATGCCCACGACTGTGACGCGGCCGTGGTGGCTGCTGCCAACCTCATCCAGTCTCCGGAGCTGCAGATGATTGCCGTGAAAGCGGGAATTTTATCGCCAGACTCGATGTCCCATACCTTCGATGAATCAGCTAACGGATATGGTAGAGCGGAGGGTGCGTCAGCTGTGTATCTGAAGCGGCTCAGTGACGCACTGAGGGATGGAGATCCCATTCGCTCGATCATTCGAGGAACCTCTGTCAACGGGTGAGTTTCTCACTTTCTTGGTAGTGTGTAAATGCTAACTAGAACGCTCAGGAATGGACGGACGCCAGGGATTGTCCAGCCCAGTGTGGAAGGCCAAAAGGCCGTCATTCGGGCGGCATATCGTCGGGCAGGTCTGGATCTGGGGGAAACGGACTACGTTGAAGTAGGCTTCTCCAAACGCTTGCAAATTACCATACTGACAGCGGAAGGCGCATGGGACCGGCACCAAGGTCGGTGATCCTATGGAGGTCGAGGCCATAGCCGATGTTTTTCGTCATCGGACAGGACGACCGACCCTCATTGGGGGGATTAAGCCGAACGTTGGTCACAGCGAAGGAGCTAGCGGCCTTTCAAGCCTAATCAAAGTTACGCTAGCCCTCGAGAATGAGTTACTGCCTGCGACAGTCGGGGTTAAGACGATCAACCCGAGCATCAAATTAAAGGAATGGAACGTGGACATTGTTACTGCTAATCAAGCGTGGCCGGTATCTCGGGTCCCGCGGGCGTCAGTCAATTCGTTTGGTTTCGGAGGCTCAAATAGCCATGCTATTCTGGAGGCAGTGCCGATGGAACTATTGACCAACAGCTGTAGAGATCCGCCAGTAGGCGAAGATGCAGAGAGGCTCTATCTGCTGCCTCTTTCGGCCCGATCTGAGACATCCCTCAAACAGATGGCTGGTAACTTGGCTGATTTTGCTTCCCAATCAGCACAGCATATTCAAATCAGTGATCTGTCCTTTACGTTGAGTTCTCGTCGCTCCAAGCTGGCTACTCGTGGCTATTTCGTCGAATCCCAGGCGAGCCTGGATAAGGGGCTCAATATGGCGAGCCTGAAACTGAGAGATTCTGACAGTGAGGGACCATTCCCGTTGGTCTTTGTTTACACCGGGCAGGGCGCACAGTGGGCTGGAATGGGCAAAGAGCTTCTTAGCCATAGCCACGTGTTTAGGAAGACCATAGGCTACCTTGACTCTTGCCTCCGAGCCCTTGATTCAGACCATGCGCCCGCCTGGACACTGGAGGGTATTCTGCGAGGTGGTGAAGGCTGTGATATTGGCGCTGCAGAAATATCACAGCCCTTGTGTACAGCAGTACAAATAGCGCTGACGGACTTACTCAATGATTGGGGTGCTCTGCCAGAGATAGTGACGGGTCACTCCTCCGGCGAAATTGGAGCAGCGTATGCGGCCGGGGCTATCGATGCCCGGCAAGCCATTCTTGCCTCATTTTTCCGCGGAACTGCTGTCGCCGAGGACTATACCGAAGGTTCCATGGCTGCCGTGGGACTTGGAAAAGATCAAGCGCAGGCGATAATCGAGGAATGTGCGTTGAGAGGGTCTGTTACCCTCGCCTGTGCGAACTCGCCAGAGAGCACGACCGTGAGTGGTGATGCAGTGGCCGTGGATAAGCTTCTTAAGACACTCGATGAAAAACACATCTGGGCTCGAAAGCTAAAGACCGGAAATAAAGCGTACCACTCGCACCATATGAAGATTCCGGGGCCGAAATATGAGGCTTTACTCAAACGCTATTGGCATACGGTTAATGGAAGACACGACAGCAATGGCACAGTGGATGATCTCACGTCATCAGTGGTCATGATTTCTACCGTGACTGGTGAGCCGGTAAGTACAAATCAGGTCGGGACGCCCACATACTGGCGTACAAACCTCGAATCTCCAGTGCGGTTTGACGAGGCTATTAAAACTATCCTGGCGCGTGGCAGTTACCATCTGGTAGAACTTGGCCCGCACTCAGCTTTACAGCTCCCTATCAAGCAGAATGCCTCGACACTTGAACAGAGTCGCTATATCTATAGTTCCTCTCTCATCCGTGACCAAGATGCTTGGTTGACCACCCTTCAGCTTGTCGGTTCACTGTTTTTGCATGGACACGATGAGCTTGAATACCACAAGATGTTTGCGGATAGATCTCAGTCCCGTGTTTTGGTTGATTTGCCTCCTTACCCCTGGGACTACAGTTCTCCCACCCTGTGGTCTGAGCCTCGCGCCAGTATCGAAGTACGTCACCGCAAATACCCTAGGCATGATCTTCTCGGATCCCAAGTGACGGGAGGGAGCACCGTAGGAGTGACGTGGCGAAATGTACTGAACCTCAATGAAGCCGAATGGCTTACGCATCATTGCCTTGGCCCATCGGTGGTATTCCCCGCCGCTGCATATATTGCGATGGCAGTCGAGGCGATGTGTCAGGTTGCAGGTCTGCAGCTGAAAGACTGTCCTGGAGTGGAACTTCGTGATCTCAACTTCATCAAAGCTCTCGATATGGACCCCGAACAAAAGCCAACGGTGGAGATATTTTCCGAGATGCGTTCGATGAAGATTTCCAACCTGACGAACTCAGATAAATGGTGGAGATTCGGTGTTATCTCGATCGACAGTGATTCCCAGTCGACCTTGCATATGAACGCGGCTGTTCGACTAGCAGAAACCTCGCCACGCACAACTCGACAGATTAACCTTGACAATTCAAAGATGCAACAGGATGCGGTCCGTGTCTGGTATGACAAGTTCACCCAAGAAGGGCTCAACTGGGGTCCCCGGTTTGCTGTCATGGAGGAGGTATTCCGAGATCGCGCGCGCACAGCGCACGTAGCAGCAGCCACTACACATCTCCAGCGGGGAGAAGCGTTTGGTCAGTACATTGCGCATCCGATTTCCATAGATGCGATGCTACAAACGGCTTTCGTTGCGACTACTAGTGGCTGGGTTAGTAAGCTCCGGGCTACTGTGCCTGTTGCGATGGACTCGGTTTACATCGCGCCGCCGTCAGCCCTCGACATGGATATTGACAAACCATGGTGCATTGACACCCAGTCGGAGAAAGTAGGCTTTGGAACCGTTAAAATCAATGCAGAGCTGTTTAATTCGTCTGGTCAGGTCTTGGTCAGGATGGGGCAGGTTCGTTGTATTGCCTACCAAGGGAACAGACAGACAGAAACCACCGAGGAACGCAGTCCTCTTCTGAGAGTTACATGGAAGCCAGATCTCTCTGCACTAACTAATGCGGGCCTTGGCGAATATCTGAACCGGTTTGGACAGAACTGCGGCTTTAAGGAATTGGCTGATGAGAATGTGCTGCGCTTGGCTGGTGCCCTGGATTTGGCCTGTCACCAGCGGTGTAATAGCAATATCCTCGAACTTGGCGATCAAACCCGGATATCAGAGACTGTTCGTGGGCTTCTACGTGTCGACTCCTCTTTCCGAAGGTATAGCACCTATTCTCGTGGGGTCGTTGCAGACGGCGATCTAGTCGGTGCGGAGGTTTTCTCGGAGACTGTAGGCGAGCAAAAGCTAGATCGCTCTACAGGGATTCCACAGGAAAGGAACTTTGATATAGTTCTCGTCCCCTCGGTATGTTTGACCTCTCGTAAGTTTGACATGATGCTGATCTGTGATAGGTTGATCTCTGGACGCCGGCCCTTTCCAGCAGGCTCACACCAGGGGCAACTGTCATCATGATGGGGGACGCACTGAGTGACGATGTCACCTGGACGAAAGTTATCAAAGCAAGTGGTTCTTTCCCTGTCACAGTCTCGACTATAGGCGGTCTTCCTAGCAAGGGAAAGGTTGACAAGTTCCCGACAATTGTGGTGAGTTCTTGAGATGAGCTTCCATTATGTATATTTCTGACAAGTGTGCAGGTAACCCGAGATCACAACATAACAGACCTGGATCGACAGCTCCAAGACGTCTTACAGGAAAATTTAGGATCTGTGGTCAATATTGTCGAATTGTCCCAGGTCAACATCGCGACCGTTCCGGATCGCTCTTTTGTCATATCCACCCTAGAACAGCAGCAGCCTCTTCTGAGCAGGATTGACGAGCGTGAAATGGCACAGCTGAAAAGTATTACCGATCGTGTAGCCAAGATTGTATGGGTCGTCAATGGCGGCTTTGTGGATGGAGAAACCCCCGATTTTGCGCCAATTCTAGGATTATCCCGTGCGCTTATGCTCGAACAGCCTTCTCTCCAATTTGCGGTTCTAGATGTGGACGATAAATCAGCCTCTTCTCCCGACAACCTGCACAACATCGTGAACGTTTTAGACCGACTGATCTATGAACCGGAGCCGGACTTCGAATTCTCGCAGCGAGACAGCGTCCTTCATATCTCTCGCTGGGAACCGGACGACTGTCTCAACGAGACCTTTCGTCTCAAGCAAAATAAGCAAACCATTGACCTTCCTCTAGCGATTGCTGGGCGTTGTGAATTAGGCATCAAGGACCCGGGACAAATGGACACGATCCATTTTGTGCAGAAGGAGTATTCAAGCGCTTTGCATCCAGATGATGTGGAAATCAGCGTGAAGAGTGTAGGAATGAACGCAAAGGTAGGTCTCATGCTTCCGATTATCTATTAGCAGCTTTGATAACGAGAAATAGGATTTATATGCCATAAGCGCTAAGGTGGACACTAAGGATGCATCATGCTCCTGTGAATGTGCCGGTGTTGTTACCGCTGTGGGCGACAACGTTTCCGAGTTTAAGACTGGTGATCGTGTAGTTGCAGCGGCTCCCGGCCATTTTGCAACTGTCGAGCGCTTCCCAAGCTGGGCAGTATGTAAATTGAGCGAGGAGGAGGATTTTACAGTAAGTGATCGACTCTCTACACGAAGGCAGAAGCTCATGCGTGCAGACGGCCTCAACTATTCCTGGTGTCTTTTCGACGGCTATTTATGGACTGAAGCACCGCGCAAATCTACAGCCAGGAGAGGTAGGTGCCGTTATTCCTCACTCTCATGAGCTGGGACTAATTGATTAGACCGTGCTTATTCATTCCGCTGCCGGGGGCGTTGGGATTGCAGCAATCCAATACGCGAAGCATCTCGGAGCAAAGGTAATCTATACCCAGATCCAGCAGTAATAAGTTTGGATCAACCGGCTAACTCACTCGATAGATTTTTGCCACGGTCGGGAACGAATCTAAAAAGGCATTCCTCGTCGAGAAGTATGATTTGGATCCAGCGCATATTTTTAGCTCGCGCGATTCATCATTCCTCCCTGCCATTATGGAAGCCACTTCTGGTCAGGGGGTTGACGTGGTTTTGAACTTTCTCACCGGTGATCTTCTACGCAGCAGCCTTCAAGCATGTGCCGACTTTGGCCGCTTCATAGAGATTGGGAAACGTGATATCCTTGATCATGGCGTCCTGGACATGTCAACGTTCGGCCGCAATATCTCCTTCATGGCATTTGACCTGTCCAGTCTATATCTCTCCAACAAGGAAGCTCACCATCAACTCTGGAAAACCCTGCTTACAGAGAGTCTAGATCTAGTGAGATCCAAGATCTGTGAGCCGTGTTTCCCAATCAAGACATTCGACGCATCAGATATTACCGATGCGTTCAGGCATTTCTCCCTGGGCACTCGATTGGGGAAAACAACCGTGTCATTCCAGGATCCAAACATCAAGATACGGGTGATTCCTGCCAAGTATGAAACCGTATTTAGTGCCCAGAAGTGCTACCTTATGGTCGGGTGCCTGGGCGGGCTAGGTCGCAGTCTATCTAAGTGGATGATATCTTGCGGTGCACGACGATTCATCTTCATGGGTCGATCCGGTTTTGATAAGCCCGAGGCAAAAGATATAGTCGATGATCTACGGGCCCAAGGGGCCCACGTCACAGTGATCCGGGGAGATGTTTGCCGGTATGAGGATGTTGAACGGGCTGTGGAAGCCGCGGATTGTCCCATTGGTGGCGTAATCCAGGCGGCCATGGCACTCAGCGAGGCTCTTTGGAGTAGTATGTCTCACAGCGCATGGCATACTACCATCGGCCCTAAGGTTCAGGGCACCTGGAATCTTCACAATGCGTTAGGCCAGGGTCGGGACTCCCAGCTGGACTTTTTCGTCATGACATCTTCCATCTCCGGGACCGTGGGCACGGCGACTGAAAGCAACTACTGCGCTGCCAACTCCTTCTTGGACGCCTTCGCCCGCTATCGCAACCGTCTCGGGCTGCCGGCCATCTCCATAGGCTACGGGATGATTTCGGAAGTGGGATATTTGCACGAGCACCCGGACATCGAGGCCCTCATGAAGCGCAAAGGAATCCACCCCATCAATGAAGACGAACTGATCCAGATCATGAACATGGCCCTTGTGAACCAAAGAGCAAGCACGTGGGACTCTCGGTACGATCATCTGGCGGGCAGCCACCTTCTCACCGGGGTGGAATTCATCGGTCTCCATGAGCAGCGGGAACGAGGATTTGAGGGTGACAACCATGTATTTGCCGATCCTCGAGCTGCATTGTTCACTGCGTCCTTTGCCCGCCGCGCGGCAGGCAAGAGCGAGACGCACAGCGCAGCGGCGCATCTCCCTAAGGAGATAGCGCGAGCGCTGCGTGAAAGCCAAGATACGGCACCTATTATCGATAGACTTCGGGCTGTTGTGTCAAAAAAGCTGTCTAATCTCATCCTTCTACCGGAGAGCGAACTGGAAGCAGATCGACCTCTGGGGGATTTTGGCTTGGATTCTATGCTGGCTGCCGAGTTCCGGACCTTTATTTTCCGCACGTTCGAGGTCGATGTACCCTTTGTCGTGCTTTTGAAAAGAAGTACCACTGTGAATACCCTGACCGGTTTGATTGTGCAGGGCCTGCAGGTGAGTGATTAGGCGCCTCGCCATACCCTGTTGCACTGATGCGGTAGCATCACGGAAGTTGTAACGAGGATGAAGAGGGCTAGAGATGGATGTACAAAGCCCTGCGCAGATAAGAATGCAAGCAAGATCGAGCATTATACAAGCTTTGTAAACCCCCTATGTTTTTTAATTAGTTAATGGCCAGGCACTTAAGTGCAGATGGCTAGAGGATAGCTAGCTGTGGTTTGATAGCGGAGCTGCTACTCTGCATTCTGCTCAGGTCATCCTCTCATCACATATTCTGGCGGCACTAAGACTCATCTTCGGAGGATCCAACACGTGAAGATGGCCTCCGGAAAAACATACAATATAGACTAGCGCGTCTTATAGATTGGTGTTCGAGAAAGAATTAAAGAGTGTGAAAGTCTCCCGTCTGTCTTCGCTACCATATTCCAATATTGATCACTGTTGCATAGGCTTAACGATAAGCCACTCCTTTAGCATTTTTAGCATAGTCTTAGAAGTAGATGGGATATCCGAGGGTCGGCTGTCAGCCGTACGATTGAATGCATTAAGCAGGAGAGCACTATTTCTGGCCACTGCCTCGTTAGAAAGTTAGGCTTGTTCCAGAATTTGAGGTGTACGGGGCTCATTATGAAGCAGCGGCTAATGCTTTAATCTATTTCCCTTAATTTCTAATATAATAGGAATATAAAGATAACCTACTAAAGATAGGTTCTATTATATATAAAACTAAAACGCTAATATACTCCTTAACTATATATGTAAGACGATTACCCAGGTAGGCACTTCTACCTAGGTAGAGCATCGCTTTCACACTTTCTATCCACTTTACCGCTCATCCGCCTTCAAATTTATTTGATCACCTTGAGATGATAATCTATTGTTGCTTCTTGAGAACAGCAAACCAGCTACGTTCACAGGAATCAGTTTCTCTTCAGTTCTTGATCAGAGCCTGCTGTCTGTCATCAACTATTTGGCATGATAAGACTCTCCCCGTTCTACCATGAGCGACTCAATGTGTATACCCTCCCGGGCGCAGAATGTATACGTAATATCCAACCTGGCCGCCCTTGGGATATATGTATAAGACAATGCCTCTACCCTCTGCCATACGGGAATTTGTTCCATGCACTGTACCATTTGGTCTTCCCAAGCCCCACTCTCTTCAATTTCGATTACCCGCTCAACCACCCTGGCAGTAGAGATGCTATCCCAAACCGCCTCCCGTATTCGTTGCCGTCGCAAAATACTCAAGGCCTCGCGACGGACAAGAGGATGCCGGCACTTGACCCCGATTATGTAAAGAACTGGAATAAATCCGATCTCTGGGGTAAAAGTCGACCTTGACGACCCCGAATACCGTTGATGATCCGCCGCTACCTCGCCCGCCAATGCAACACATTTCTGGAATTGGGGCAGGAACTTGTCATAGTCCATTTCTCTGCCAGGCCCATAACCACTGAGGAGCGTCCATGCGATAGTATGTTGTAAGCGCAGGAGTGATACGAGAGGATCAGTTCCAAAGTCTGGCTCAGAGGGGCTGCCTTGTTGCAGGAGGTTTTCAAAGAGAATAGACCACGTTTCCATCTGCCCGAGAACGATGTCCTTGAGTGAAGAAGGTAACTCCGGAATAGTACCCGCCGGGGAAATTTGTTGATCTGTGTGGCGCAGCCTCATTACCTGAGCGACGAGAACCTGGAGGTGGTCTGCAGCTTGGTCGAGTGACCGAAAGGTACTGTCAAAAAGTGCAAGATGGGACATAAATGTCTCTTGAATGTTGACTGGAGTCCAGTCGACCAGAAACATGGCGGCCTGCATGTCAAGACGGCGGAGCTGTCTTGTGACTTGGGAGATAATCGCGTGAACCCCCGAAGATTGGGTATCGTCATAGGTACAGGTGTTCAATGTAGCGTTGTCGATGTTGCTAGAGAGCGCCACACCTCCGCGAAGGTGCTTCAGTGCTTGTACGTTGTCGCCCGCCAGATGATCAAAGCAGGTAAAGAGGTAACAGACCAAAAGTGTGACAGCGGTTACTTCGGCGCTGTCACCATTTTCTGTGTTCAGCAGAAGCTGAATGGCGCGGTTATAGTGAAACAAAGGAGCCCTATCCGGTAGCGGGTCTTTTAAGGAAGGCGGCTGATACACCCCATTGTTGGAATGACGATCCAGGTAGTTTCGGTGAATCAAGGCCAGAGCAATGGCAGCATGCCGCACTGGTGGCACTGTTTGGGAGAAGAACATGAGAGTCTTCCGCCATGGTTCACACGGGCGGTATTCATTCAGATGCTTGATAGAAATATCCTTGAAAAAGCACATAACGTCTGCCTGGGTTGACCCAGTCACTGGTAAGATCATAAGGGATCCGAGATTCTGCAAAATGAGGCCGTGGTATCTCGAGTGCCATCGCTTTGACTCGTTCGCACTGATTGTGGTACTGGGAAGGTCATTGTCGCAGCTATCTGCTCTGTCGACGATCTCCTTCTGATAATGAGTTGATTTGATCTCGATCCTCCTGGTCTTGAATTCGAGGGGCATTTCACTATAGCCATCGCAGGTACGACCAGTAGAAAAGCATTTCAAGCATGAAGGCCGAGATAGGTCGCATTTAACTCGCCTTATCCTGAGGGATGTCAGTTTCAAATTCTTTGAACATAATGAATCGCTCTGTAGCAATACGTAGAGTCAAGACACACTTGCAAGTCTTACAGCCTAGTCTTGACTTTGGAGCGAACTTGCGAGGCTTTCTTCTCCAGGCTTGATTGCCCGTCTTGGTTTCCTTGTCCTTCATCTCGTCTATCATGGTGATTTGGCTTGACTAAGATTTACAATGCACACCGTTTCAGGCAGAGGTCAATTTTGAGGCCACCACGACCCGGAAGCCAATCACCTGCATGCACTTGCTTCGAAAGGGAGCTTATGGGGTGCTGATGAAAGTTCAAGATGATGATCTGTCCGTCAGTTCGCACGCTAGTGGGGAAGTTATCGCCACATTGTTCGAGGTGGACAGCGGAGTGAGAAAATGTGGACGGTACAGAGTACAAAAATCCGAAGCTTGGAGAAAGACCACGCTTGATGGGCCGGTTCGTACAAGCGGGGCACTTTAAAAGGAGAGCTTTTAGTGATGGGGAAGGATTGGATATGTAGCCTAAAGCTACTCCGTAGACCAATTGGCACTAATCTCACAAACTAGAGTCTACGGAGTAGTGGGTTTCATGATAAGTATTGATTGGCCAGTTCGTACACGCGGGACTAAAAAAGAAACACGATCGTCATATATCTTACCCTTTATAGACTAGTACAAATTGTGATTAGTACCGATTTGTTAACTCATACAGCCGGGGCACCTAGGAAGGCAAGCCTCTTCCTATTCAACAGTTTAGGATAAGGAGGGGATTATAAGTAGTCATATTTGGGGTCTGTGGGCTAAGGATACAAGTATCTATACGAATAAAAATAAATCTCAATTGAAACGTGGATTAAAACCTTGGATCACCACTACACTTACAATACACTTATAAGGGTATGCTCCTGTCCCCGCACCCGCCGTACTTGGTTATATGACAGAAATCTCGGGTACAGCAATATATGGTCAAAATGACCGTTGTGTATGACTCTAACTAAAATGACAAAAACGCACTATTTGACAATCTGCTTGGGCACACCTGACTAACCTTAATATGCAATTTGCATGGGGCCCACTATCACAGCGGTCCATGTATTTTCCGAGGTGTTGAATACTCGGGTTCCTAGTCATGTATTGTAACATAGCTTTCGACATTATACTTGGTGGTGATCCAAAAAATATTGGTTGGCTGGTTCGTACAAGTGGAACGGAAAGCGATTTTACGCAAGAGGAGGTATTGTGAGTTGATGGGAATAATGTAGCTGCCTTTGAAACCGTCAGACTTGATACTATTATCTAAGGAAGTTCAATTTGGTATAAATAGTTCCTAGATATCGCAACTGTTTCTGCTCTTGCAAGCAACTGAACGGAAAGATCAATAAGAAGCCCCAGGGATTATAATGAACCGGCTTGTGAATGCGCTCATCCTTTTAATGAGCTTGGGATTGAAAACCTACAGTTTGCATAATCGGGGCATGGTCTATGGATTTGACAATGTGAGTCCGGGAGTTTACGCTACCACATTGCCGAAGGGTTCAAGCTTCTGACGAGCCATATAGATCGAACCATCAGCCAACCTCACATGGACACCATGTTTCGATGGCTTTGGTTGCTCTAGATTGGAAGTTCCTTTGGACTATTCAAACAGAAGACTGGGCACAACGTCGATTGCCTTCATCAAGCTGGCTGGCAAAAATGCCACCGTCGAGTCTCCAAGCATTGTAATCAACCCCGGTAAGATTTCAATTATATCAATCATGCAACGTTGTCGAACTTTATTTGACTGGGCTGACACTTCTTTAGGCGGTCCGGGTAATTCTGGTGTCGACCTACTTCTCTCATATCAGGATTCTATAGGACAGATGTTTGGAGAGCAGTACAACTTCGTCTCCTTTGATCCTCGCGGTGTAAACAACAGTGGCTTGCGTCTAGACTGCTTCTCAAAGGACGCAAAAGCAAGATCGGCTTTCTATCGACTGCACAGGACAGGCGCCAGTAATATCTCATCAACATCGCTTGAGGAACAGTACTATTCGAGCTCTATCTATGGCGAGTGGTGCAACAATGCTGTGGAGAACAAGTCCCCCCATTCATACTATGTGACTACGCCAGCAGTTGCCCATGATTTGCTCACATTTACCGAAGCCGAGGCTGAGATGGCCGGTCAGTCACCATCAAACGCCAAATTGTGGTGCTATAGCGTCAGTTACGGTACTATCATCGGGAGCACTTTCGCTTCCATGTTTCCTGACCGCGTTGGGAGAATGATACTCGATGGTGTTATGAACGCAGAGCAATATTATAACAACTATTGGACGGACAATGTTGATCAAATGGACGAGGCCATGGAAACATTCTCGACCTTCTGCCATTCCGCAGGGCCTGAAAAGTGCTCATTTTGGGGACCCACGCCCGCTAACATCACGGCGAGAATGAATAGCATTATCCGTCAGTTTCAGAACCATCCAGTACCGCTAAGCGGTATCATCGATTCAAACCTGCCGACAATGGTCACCTATTCAGACCTGAAGACTCTTTTTCTCAACACACTCTACACCCCACTGGCAGGGTTTCCAAGCATGGCTGACATCCTACACCAGGCTGAGCGTGGGAATTTCTCGGCTCTTGCGGGCATGTATGACCAGTCAACCCCTATAACCGATGCTCGTCTCGCTATTACATGCACCGATTCGTATCGGAGAAACAAGCTTACTACCATTGAAGAGTTCAAGATTTGGGTGGAGTACATGATATTCAAGAGCAAGTACATCGGTGATATCTACCCCACCTATCTGGAGGGTATCTTATGCCGATCATTCCGACCGGAGTTGCCTGATAGCATGGTAGTTCAAGGTATGTAACCCTCCTTTTGTCTCTCTCTTTTTTTCGGCATTCTATAGACATCATTCGGTAAAATGGGTGACCACCTGCTTTGGAACCAAAATCTAACAAGGTTTGATGCAGACGAAATAAGCATACTCAACATGCCTACGTCCTTCCCGATCCTTTTTGCAAGTAATACCATTGATCCTATCACACCGTTGGAATCGTGAGTTTCGGCCAACTCACAGCGCCATTGGGTAGTTACTGACTGACATTATCTCGTCGTAGGGCTCGCAAAATGTCTTCTCGGTTTGCCGGATCGGTACTTTTAATGCAAGAAGCCGTTGGTGTAAGTTGTTATCAATTCTCAATCCTCCAGTCATCTTGACCAAGAGCCCAGGCTTACTCAAAGGATGTTTCCTTTGAATTCAGCATACGGTAATTGCCCAGGGGGCGTCACATTGCTACTTTGGACAAATTCAGGCATACCTCCAAGGCACAGTTCCATCGGACAACACAACATGTCCGCGACAGTACATTCCTTTCATAGATGCCTTCTCCCTTTAACGATTGTCAGAGCCGTGGGAGAAAGGGTCGGTCAATTTCAGGAAGAACCGACCAGTTCCAAGGAAGTGCTAAATTGTCAAAGTATTTGGGTCATACACGCTCATTCCAAAGTGATATTTTAATATCTATTTTTGATTCCTACGCTCCTTTTACTCCTTTTTTATCAGATTGTGTATTATTCTGGTCTCCCTTCATCTGAAATATGGACCCTACAATCAAACAATCAAACAATGCAAACAAACATCTTCAAAGCGAAGACTCCCGGCAGAACCATCCTCCCAGGATCCAGATCGTCACAACTATTATATTTTACTACCTAATATACCAGATATCTTTGGTCGAGATATTACCGTTATATATAGCGAATTTAGTAAACCTTGACTAACGGCATTAAAAGAAGAAAAGAAAGGTAGAAAGAAGAAATCATTAGTATAAAAACCTAGTTAGTTTTCCGAGATCGCACCCCACAAAAAATGAGGATAGTGAGCAGAGTGATATGATCTATATTTTAATCATATCATAATTTGCCGCCCAGTCAATCATGAGAGAAACGGTTTGCCGAGAACAAGAGATAAACATATTCTCATGAAACTATCACGGCATCCGTCCATGGGTATAACTAGGTAGCCGTGTAATCAATTGACATATAACCGATATTATCCAACCACTTTCCCCAGGTTCTAATTGCGAACAACATACAATTTGGAATTGAGATACGATACCCTCCGAAATATGTTACCATGCTCTAGCATCTCCAAACATAACGACATCATCTCAGCGTTGATGGAGAAGATCAGGCTGAAGTTCGATCGAGATATATCGATTTCGGACCGATGACCATTTGAAACAAGATGATAAGACCGTTATCCAACTAGAAATAAATTGTTATGATATAAAATTACTTATTCTGTTTTAGCGTTGCCACAACCCGTGGACATTGTTTCAATATTTTTACTTATGAACAGTAATGGGGAAGGGAAAAGCAAAAGAAAGTTATAACTCCAAGCAAAACTATAGAGAATAAAAACAGAGCAAACAGAGATGCCAACTGAGGATAGTGCTGCTTTCAAAGTCCTAGGGGTTGCATGGGACGTTCAAACAGTAACTAATCATCTCCTAGCGTAACAGTTGGTCGCCCCCGTCTGCGGGGTCCGTCCAGAGGTGTGCAAATATCTTCAATCATTTTATCTTCCTAAGGTAAAATATCAAATGTACTCAGAACGTGTATAAAGGCAAGAAAAGGAAAAGCACCCAAGAGAGAAACTTCGCCAACGCTCGCGACTCCGATGAAAAATCTCGGGATAAAGAGCGCTGGTCAGTTGAAGTGTCCTGATCATATCTGACAAGCAAGTGCCGCTGGAAGCTCTGGCCTCGGTCCATGGTTGATGGTAGGCGGAATGTCAAGCTCATCAAGATACTGTATTGTTTTTTCACATTGCTCTTGGCTCATTGTGAGACCGTTGCCAAGCCAGTTGAACATGTTTTCTTTCATTTCTGGCATGCGGATATATTGGTAGTCTTCAAATCGAGGATTACTCATCGCTCGCTCTGCATTTAATGAAGAACCGGGCCAAATACCAACGATGCGGCCTGTGTCCTCGTTTTTCTTGAACCATGACTTGCACTATCGAGTAATGGGCCATGAGTCAGCCAAGCATCCTTCTGCACGGGATAGTTCTGAGATCGAATCGGTTTGCTTACTTTATAGTTGAAGATGGTCTTTTCAAAGTATTTATCGACGTGTTTGCTGAAGTCTTTGTGGGCTTCCATCCTGCATTTGACAAATTAAGCGAGCTACCTTGCTTTGAAAATAGAAAAAAACTCACGTTGGCTCCATCGAGGAAAAATATTCCCGCTGCAACTTTTTGGTGCACTTAATGATGTACTCGACGACAAATTCCAGCATGGCCAAGAAGCTACCGGAGCCAGAACTTCCGCTAGGACCAAGATACATGAAGAAATTCGGAATATTTGGCACCCCAACAGCCATGTAGGCCTCCGGAGTTGGATCCCACATTTGAGCTAAAGTGATACCGTTGTGCCTTGTTATCGGCGTGTCCTCGGTGCTCCACGAGCTGTTTCGCACCACAAATGCATTAATTCTGGTATTCTTCTTTGATAAGAAGCCGGAAACTCACTAGTCAAATCCAGTGGCGCAAATGATAGCATCAACTTGTTGGAAATTGCCTTTGTCATCAATTAATCCATCATCAGTAACTCGTTGGATCCCCGATCCGATAAATGTAACGTTTTCCTCTATCAATGCCTCGAGATAGCCAGGTCCTGGGGTCAGACGTCTGCAGCCAGGTGGGAAATCTAGAATGAGGGAATCGTAAATTTCGGGTTTTGTAGCCAGTTTGTCTTTCATGAATGTCTTTGATGTAACCCAGAATTCTTTCTGGACATCAGATCCTGGGAATATCCTCTTCCTGTATAAATAGCGAGGCCACAGACTTTGGTAAAGACCATCTGTTCGCAGCTCACACAAGTGTCGAATTGATCCTCGCTGAACGAATTACGTGAGGGCACCCTCACCCATTTTATTGTGGGGGCATTTATTTACAGGGATATGTCATGCTCTCTCTTGGTCGAACCTACTGAACAAATAGCAATCAACACACCATCGATGTACTCGTATATCACCAAACATATACTCTCCAGTGTTCACCCAACTACATGGCTTCATACCGAAGTCTTCTACCTTCTATCCGCTTTATGTCGTTATATACGCGGGATAGTAGATGGAGGGGAGCACGATATAATACTGGAGGCGACATTTGAGCAGGAGCTCCTCAATTGGCGAGCAGACCAATGCGATCCGTTATGGGAAAAGACCACCGACGCATTCTGCAGACACGGTCTAATACTACTCTACCGGCTTTGTGGCCGGTCTTCCAGGCTGGCGTCTAGTCTTATTCCCAGCGGCATGGATGGCGATGCCTGAAGGATCCAAGGTTCCCTCGATACCAATACCGTTATCCGCAGACACGCAATCAATGTTCTCTACAGCCTTCTTTCTATTCCAATTTCATCGCCACAATCAGCGGTTCAATCAATTCCATTTCTGACCGCTGGTGGGGAACTGGTGCAGAGCGATTTGAGCCTCAGAGATGATGTGCAATCCAGGTTCTTTGCATTATATTCCACTAGTCGAATTTCTGGAAACCTGGCCGCCCGGAGACTTTTAATCGACCTATGGGGGCGGAAAGATCAGGGAGATGATACAACTTGGTTGGAACTGATGTTAAAGAAAAGCTGGAGGCTGAGAGTTGGCTGATAGATAGTCTAGCTAGCTATGAACCTTGTTCATCATCGCTTGCTAAGTTCGAGGCCTTTATGCTGAGTTTGTCTGTTAAAAGCTTGTGTTCCAATGTTGTAGTATTCATGCGCGTACTTAACTAGGTCCCAGACGATATATATAATTCCCTATGCCTGACCTATCTCGTACTTCTACTGTTGCACATTGACACTGTCAATTAAGAAATTTATGTATGGCCACCGGGAGACAGATAGTTACGAGATAACTCATATTACTGTTGGACTGGATTATTACAATTCTACAATATTGTCAACCCATAGTAGAAAAATGCAATTAAAAAAACAAAACATACAACAGTGAGGATTTCGGGAGTTCCAGGGTTGAGCTGAGCTTATGCTTAGGTAATACCAAGCCCAACCAAGGTTCGCCAGCCCTAAGTGGACCTTGAAAACCCATCCAATTCCCATACAGTAAAAAGAATTGAGAGCAAAAAAGAAATCTCAGGTTTGGTTTTTAGGAATAGCCGAACGCGGGGGTCGAACCCGCAGCCTTAAGATTAAGAGTCTTACGCTCTACCGATTGAGCTAGCCCGGCTGGGCTGTTGAAAGACGACGATTTTGATGATACATGGTTCAGTCAAGAGAAAAAACCCACAATGTTACATAATTTGCTAGAATGGAGTATGGAACACATATTGTACAAAATGTTGTTCTGCCGCTTCGTATTGCAAATTATACTGCTCCATTGTCTATTAGCATCGATTCGGAGGTCACTCGGGTAATCACATGTTGTTGAGTCAAGTACAATCTGGCTGGTGCCCTGATTCTTATAGCCTCGTGTATATATATAGTGGGACCCTGACGTATAAACCCCAACTTTTCCATATTATCGTATAGTTCAGGATTCATACCGCCATGAATAGGAACAGAAGGAATCATAGACAAGGACTCATTTGCTACCGGATAAAAATCGTGGCAGTTTTCCAAAGCTGCCGAATCCAGTTCTCACCACCCTTGCTCTCACTGGGCTAATAGATACCAAACAATGAAAAGACCAACGATTCATCGATCCTGTCAACAGACTCTCACAGCTATCCAAACGAAACCCGCAGAACATAGTCAATTTAACCTGACCATAAGCATTCTGTATATCCCGATAAATGTACTAACACTATATAAGGTCATGCTATTCCTTTGTGTTTGTTATCTCTCAGATACCATAGGCTCGCCATCCCATAGTTACTGACTATATAGTCAGTCATCTTTCCTAGTTTATATAGTAACTCTACAATAATTTATATATTATATACCATTGTCTACCATTATAGATATTAATAGGTTATAAGCCTAGGAGCTTGTTATTAACGGTTTAACTACTAGTTAATATCCCTAGTATCTATATATCTCTCCCTATATATAGGGGTAGTACTAAGCCTAGTACTACCTAGTTAAAACTCTCGCTTTTCTTACCTCTGCCTACCTAGAGATCTTACCTATTTAGGTAGTAGGAATAGCTTTAGGTTTATAGCTTATTACCGTTATTAAACCTACTAAGGTAATAGGTAGGCTTTGTTTTATATAGGGCTCTCCCTACTAGGTGTTATTATCTTAGGTCCTAGAAATTAATATATTAAGTGTTAATTAGATAGTTTTAGAGGTTTATTTACTTAATTACTTATTTACTAGTAATCCTTAGGTAGGGTCTATATAAACCCTATCCTTAGTAGATCTCTCTCTCTATAAGTATCTCTCTCTCTCTCTTTATATCCTCTTTATCTACCTTTTTTATTAATTTTAAGTACCTTACTATCCTCTTCTATTAAATTTATTATTACTATTATCTTTAGTATACTTAATTACTTAGGGATAGCCTTACTTTTACCTATTTAGGAAGTTAGTATCTTACTATTTCCCCCCCCCCCCCCCCCCCCCCCCCCCCCNCCCTTTATTATCTAGTTATTAGCTAACTATTAGTTTTAGTTATACTTCCTACCCTTTTATTAAATAATCTTAATAATCTTAATCTATATAATAATAGAAATATATAGATCTATAGATCTAAAGTTTACTAAGCTTATTCTAAGCTTAAAAGGGGAAATAAATTAGGAATAATAAAACTAACTAATAGAGATTACTTTTAATAGTAAGAACTTAATATATTAGGGCTTTTTAATAGGAATTAAGGGATATTTTTAGGATTTAACTAGTAATAAAGTCTCTTAACCTAATACTAATAAAGAGATTAAGGTATTTTAGGATATAACCTCTATTCTAATTAGATTAAGTATAGCTCTTATACTAATAGTTACTTCTAGCTTTAGCTTTAGTTCTAGTTCTTATACTATTAAGCTACCTACTACTACTACTATTAAAGTATAAGTTAAGTTATAAGCTAACTAGGACTAGTATAATATTATTATCCTCTTTTATATTATATCTACCTTTATTAAGGTAAGACTATAGCTAAGGTTTATAAAGATTTATACTAACTTTATAAGACTAAGAATTTCTACTTAATTAGTAATAAAGCTATTAAATAAGCTACTTTAAAATATAAACCTAATAATAAACTAGAAGATTTTATTATAAAGTAATATTATCTTTTTATTAAGATATAGGAGGTATACTTAGCTACTAAAAGGGTATCTACTCTTTATATTATATATATATTTTTATATACTATTAAGGGTAATACTAGCTATTAATATTAGTTTAATATAGTCTCTATTTATAAAGACTAGTTTTATAATTATAATTTATAATATATCTTTAATAATTTTATTACTTTTAAAGGATATTATATTAAAAATAATTATATTTAAAGCTAATAATAAGCCTTATCTAATATTATTTTAACTAATAAGAAAAAAAAGGATAAGAAGAAGAAAGACTCTAAAAAGGACTCTAAAGACTCTAAAGATTAGGTCTAGTATCCCTTTTATAAAAAGGAAACTATTTATAAACTAGCTAACTATTTCTTAAACCTTAAGAATAAGAAGGATTTAAAACCTAAGTCTACTAATAAAGCTAATACTAAACCTACTATTATAAATATAATATTATTATTACCTAATAACCTCTAGGTATCTATTACTTATATTAATATTAATTCTATATTAGCTACTATTTTATTAAATAATACTTTAGATCTTAATATATAGATACTAGATTTAGGCTATTTAGCTTATATAATACCTTACTAGAGTATATTTTATATTTTTATTATTAAGACCTTACTTATTTATTTAGCTATTAGTAAAACCTTCTATATAGAAAGCTATAGTAATATTATTATTAATCTTACTAAGTTTAATTATAGTATTAATAATTAAGATACTATTAAGTAAATTTATATAAGGGGTATTATACTCTAGAAGGTTTAATATATACTAAGCTTAAAATATAGTCTTATTTTAATAAAATAGTTTACTAAAATAGGTACTATAATAATTACTTTCTTTAAGGATTATATTAAATTAAAATCTATAATTATTAAAGAGATTAAAGGTTATACTACTATTAGTAATAACTAGTACTAATTATATATATATAAGAATATTTAAATTTCTTATCTCTATAGTCTTATAAAAACTAATTATCTTATATTAAATATCTCTATAGTAGAGAATACTACTAGTTTACTAAAGGATAATAATCTCTTTATTTTAGCTTTTAAGGTTAATAAACTAATCTCTATCTTAATAGATCTTACTTATTATTATATCTATTATATTAGTAAATCTTAAGTTAAGAAAACTTAAGACTATATAGATAGCTTAATAATTAAAAAAAGTTAGCTTTAATTTAGCCTTATATACTATATATTATTAGTAAAGATTATACTCTACTTTTTAGTAAAAATAAATTAATTTATACTAATCTTAGTAATCTAATTTATATAGATATATAAGGCCTTATTAATATTATATTAACTAATAGCTATAACTATTATATTATATTTATAGATAATATTTCTTATTTTTACTAGGTATTCCTAATTAAATACTACTTTAAGGTATTAAAAAAGTTTATCTAGGTTAAATAATAGCTAAAGACCTAGCTAAATTTAATAGTAAAGTATATCTTTAGTAATAATATTAAGGAATATAA